GAGAGAGAAGGAGTTGGACCTTCATATTTAAAAGCTTCTTTTCTGAAACACCCCACAACTTCCATACTTGGGCTGTTTCTGTGTCTATGTTGCAAACTCATGAAATGACAGATTTTCATTGTCTACTGAAATAGTGAACCTTAATTTTTGTCACCACATCTCAGTGACTGACAGTAAACTCAAACAATTCAGATTAATCAGCAATAAGTGTGTTCACCAACCCAAGACCTATACTTAATGTACCAATAAGTGAAGAATGGGTAAACTCTGAATACAGTTATGGGCTCCTTCTGACGTTCCTCTTGGTGCTGTTCTGCTGTGTGGCTCTTTTTTTATACTGCTAAGTAACATTAGACTTCCACAGGTGCCAGGAGAGGGCAATGACACAGTGTCCTCTCATGACACCATTGAGCTCCCTATTTACCAAGGGTGTGTGGGTAAGAAAAAGCCAGGCTGCTCGAGTTAACTGCACTGACAAGAGCATACATCGTCTCTCCAACAGTTGTGGGCTAATGCATATTCCTAATGTACTATATTCTTGGTTTCAGAAGCAAGATAAAACTATCTTCTTGGAGTTGGCTTTTTCTGCTAATCTGTGACAAGTAAGTAATAATTTACTAATGAGATACCCGAGGCAATGACCATGATGCAGTCTTCCTAGCACCGAGTGCAGCTAAAGTGTTAGGAGTCATGTCAATCTCATTCAATAACGTCTTTCTCTGTACCTCGTTTCCCCTGGAAGAAAGTTGACTGGCACATTTTCTTGACAGCCTTGTCCTGGATGCCAGTTGGATTTGCAGGTGGAGCAAAATTCTATGTCACAAGCTTTGCACTGGACCAGTTGGGGATTCTGAGGCCCTGGTTCCTGAAGCTGGCAAACGGCCTGGCAGGAAGAAGATGGGCACCAAGTCCGACACGGATCCAGAAGTACTTCTGTATAAAAACAAGATGAAGTTGGGAAAGGCTGCAGCTTGGTAGAAACACAGCATATGCGTTACAAAAAGGTCTCCAGTTTGATCCCCAATATCTGGAGGTGAAGGTGGGGAAGATGAATGGAAGCCTTGAAGAGGCGGCAGCCGGTCAGAGTTGAGCTACACTGGGCCTGAATGCAGTGCTAAAACTCATCTTGAGTCATGATGCAAGCACAGGGGAATGCCCAATTCTTGGGCATTGCTCCCCATACTCTATTCTAGGTCACCTTCAACATTAAGGAACACAGAAGGAGCAAAGGGCAGCTGAAGCACCTTCCTCTGGGGAGAAATGTTACAACTCCTGTTTTGGACAAGATGGAAAAACACAGAGAACATCTGCTCCTTGTCCCTTCTCTGCCATGTTGTGTCACATCACACCTAAAGCAACTGCAAATGGCACAGAACCGGGCTGCACAGCTGGTAAGTGGTGGCACTGTGCAGACAAATATCACGCCAGTTCTGAAAAATTTGCACTGGCTGCCGGTTGCTGATCAGGCCCAATTCAAAGTGCTTACTTTGACATATAAAGCCCTAAATGGCTTAGGACCTGGTTACCCAAAGCAGGAGTCCCCAAACTTTTTCACCCCGTGGACTGGCTGGAAAAAGCAGGGCAGCCCCGTGTTCGTGTGCATGCGTGAACAAGCACGTGCGCACATGCGCAAATGGCAGTGAGGTGCTCGCACACATGCATGCACAAATCAGCTGTGCGGAGGTGAGTGTGTGGGGAGGGTGGGAGGTCTGTCTCCGCAGCCTGGTCCGGCTCAGGCTGTGGAAACTTTTTCACCCCGTGGACTGGCTGGAAAAAGCAGGGCAGCCCCGTGTTCGTGTGCATGCGTGAACAAGCACGTGCGCACATGCGCAAATGGCAGTGAGGTGCTCGCACACATGCATGCACAAATCAGCTGTGCGGAGGTGAGTGTGTGGGGAGGGTGGGAGGTCTGTCTCCGCAGCCTGGTCCGGCTCAGGCTGTGGATCGGGCCACGGACCAGGGGTTGGGGACCTCTGACCTAAAGGACTGCCTTTTTCCATACGACATGCGCAAATGGCAGTGAGGTGCTCGCATGCATGCATGCACAAATCAGCTGTGCGTAGGTGAGTGTGTGGGGAGGGCGGGAGGTCTGTTTCCGCAGCCTGGTCTGGCTCAGGCTGTGGATCGGGCCACGGACCAGGGGTTGGGGACCTCTGACCTAAAGGACTGCCTTTTTCCATACAAGCCTGCCTGTACTCTAAGATCAGGCCAGGAGGTCCTTCTGAAGGTGCCATCCCTGAAAGAGGTGAGGGGGAATGGCATGTCGAAATAGGGCCTTCTCGGCTGTTGCCCCCCAACTTTGCAATGCCCTCCCTATAAAGATCCACCTGGCTCTGACACTTTTAGCTTGTTTGGCGCCAGGCAAAGACCTTTCTGTTTACCCAGCATTTTAAATAAATAGTATCCTTTAGCTGGCCATATGAGCAGCGGGACTTATTAATGATAAATTGACTATTTTAATATAGGGTATTATTATAATATTGGGTATTTTTAATTGTTTTAATATTGTAGTACGCCGCTCAGAGACCATTGGCAATGGTGCAACTAAAAAAAATCTTGTAAATAAATAAATAATAAATCAAGGATATTGCTGTTAGTTGTGCACAAAACCCATGTCTGGGACATTTGGGGGCATTTCCAGAAGTGACACTAAGGCTGTGTATAGTCTTCCATACACATAGCTGAAAACTACATAAAGAAAATTTAAATGAAACAGGTAACAATAAAGCTCTTTTCTCCTCTCGCACAATGCCGAGCCCTAAATACGCATTTGGCTGTTCCCTGCCACATGTTAGCTGTTGAATGTTTTATTTGCATTTTAGTGTGTTTTAAATTTGTACAATATGCCAATAAAGGTTTCTGTCTGTCTGTCCTCTCTTTCTGCCTGTACTGAGATCCTATGACTATTTTAGTTTTTTTAACTCCAAAGCTTCTAAGAACATGGAAGAAGCAAGACCTTTGGATGCGCACAGGGCACCCACGAGAGATACAAAGAGCTTTTCTTAAATCCTACTCACTCTATTTTTCCACCCACACAACTACACGAGTAGCACATAAATCCACTGCCCATATTTTAATGTTGATTAAAGATAAATAATTACAAAGACATGGGAACAGAGTGAGTGCCCTGCAGTTTGTGACTGCCATCAAGTTTCAGAGCAAAGATGACCGCTGAATACCATACCTCGTTCAAACTGAAGTTTCTTATACCTCTGCATGATTTCTGAGGCAACCATACACTCAATCTGTATGTTAAAAAAAGAGAGAGAGAACCAGCAGATCAGTAACAGCTGTAATAAAAGAGATGCTAGATAAAGAGAGGGCCAACTCAACTGGCATGATAGTTACGTAACACCAACATGACACACACAAAATGTCTGCAATAATAATAGAGGAGTCCATTTTTATGTAAGAAGAAGTGATCTGTGGAAACATACTTCATTTTCTTGTAGATGACCTCGTTTTGGGCAGGCAGCGTCAGGGCAGCTAATTGCTGTTTCCAGGCCTTCCTTGATCAAAAGCTCCACATATTGTTTCAGGCACTGCAAGAAAGTTAAGAGACAAACACTGAAGATCTTACTCAAAATATGTGGCAACGAGACATGCAGCAGGTTAACCCACTTTTCAGGTGTTCTTACACCTATCAGGGAATAAATTCCTGTTTTCACTGAACCTTTTCCACGCCATCATCTCTCTTTGAGCGCCTGCCTCACTATTATACTGCTCACAAAGTTAGGGGGTGCAAATACATTCATAAATGTCAGTTTCTCTCACATCAGAATGTTCAAAACATCAGCTCTTTCTATCTCTTCACCATGTGAAGAAACCTGCAAAATTGACTAAGCTGATTTAAAAAAAAAGTGGAACAAAATTCTCAACCATCTGCCCTGGCAAACAATTCCCAGCCCAGAGAACAGCACGTTGTATTTGCCTGCCATTTGCCTATTAATGATGAGGTGCCTGTCAGAAAAGAAAAAGAAACAGCAACCCCAATACACAAGGATTCAAAGATAGACTTTTTGAAGCTAAGCACTCAAATCTTCAAATGAGATGTTCAAACCAGCCAGAAGCTGATTCAGTCTTTTTTTTTTAAAAAAAAGCACTTGTCCGAATGTCATGATTGACTCAACCAATCTCTGGATACTAGGGAAAGTGCTGGCAACTCATGCACTTTGATGTGCTGGCTCCCATATTCATGTCCTTGCTCTGAGAAACTGCACCCATCCAAGTTGCAGGCAAAGGCACTTTGTGCGTCCATCAGTGAGGGGTATTGTATTAGTGCAAGTGACACGTTTTTGGAAAACAGGCTCGTTGGGATCATAAAAGGTGGGAAGCCCTCAAACATGGAAAATACTAAGGCAGGTAAGGACAGACAAACAGGTAGGTTAAAACTATTCAAACAAATCAGTTGAAAAAGAGAAGCTCCAAAGGTGTTGCCTTAGCGGCAGCTGAAAAAAAACAAGCTGTCCAGTGGGGGAGCATGAGCAGTGGGGGAGGTTGGGTTAATGGATTTTTTTAGTCTCTGGAATGTTCTGAGGATGTCCGTGGAGCCACAGAATGAACCCACAGGTGTGGATCACAAAGACTATGAAGGAACAAGATCCCATTTGCAGGACATCAGGAAAACAAACTATAGTTGTGTTCTTGCTATGTCAAATCACCTCCAACTCATTGACAGATTCCATCTCTGTGACTTTAAATAGCTGTATTGGTACCCCTGGTGATTTATTTCTTCCCCATGCTTTCAGAGCAGCTTTCATTTCTCTTTCTAAAGCTGCAAGTTCTTCAAAGAGTCTGTAATCTTTTTGTCTTCAGTATACCATTTCCACCTTCTCGTTATCTTCTCCTGCTCAAATAGTGTGCTTCCCTGTTGATCTTTCAGTATTCCTGATCTTGGCTTAACTTTCCCTTTGATTTCTGAAAAAATCTTTTTCCCCCCCAACTGATATTATTCAGGCAAATCGTGCATTACAGCCCCTAACTGCTTGTGTTACATCCTGCCTCCGTATTAGAGCCATTCTATTTCTTCTAGGTCTGTAATTTTAATGAGTAGTTGTCTGACTGTAAATATCCTGTTTCTATTTGAATTCACTGACACCAAACACCATAGTGTTTATATGTTCTATTTCTTGCTTCAGGGTTTTCACTGCACTTTGATTTATACTCCTCACATTCCATGTTCCAATTGTGTGTGTTGTGCAGCACTGGGCTTTCCTTTCACTTTTGTGCACACCAGCCATTAAACATCTTTTTGGCTTTAATCTATTTGTGTCATTAGTGACACAGCTATTCCTACTTGTCATTTGCTCTTCCCTAGTCACTGACTGAAGGTTTTCTGACCAGGGAGTCTCATCTTTCAGCACTATCTCCTTTCATTTTGGATTGTCTCATCACAGAGAGTTCAGCAAGGTTTTACCACTGCCACCTTCTGTGTAATATGTACTAATAAAAATGTTAGTGTGTCACCGCTGCTGCCTCTTCTGTCAGTGTCACCTCCAGCTACCACTGATGCCCAGCAGTTGCCTTGAAGCTACAGTTAGCAGCAAACATATTTTACTGTAATTAGATAAACTATCTAGGCAATGAAGAATTTGGAAGAAGAAAAGAGCAAACATAGGTAAAGCTCCCAAGTAATGGGAAAAAGAGTCAACACATTTTTTCTCCCAAGCTCTGGGGACACTTCTCACATTGAGGAGAATATTACTCCTGCACATGACATAGCCTTGAAGAAAGTTTTAGAGGCCAAAGGTCCCCTGAGGCTGACAGAGAAAAAGATGCTTGCACAAAAAATGAAAAACACATCACAAAACTGTAAAGGAGAAAAGCAAGAGGAAAAAAGAGGAAGAAAAATAAGCTCCACAACAGAGTATGATCGCTTTAAGAACAGATTCTCACACTGGAATATGTCATGCTCTCTAAAAGCAGGAGTCTCACAATGCTGGAAACAAAAAGCCCACTTTTATTTCAATTTTTGTTTGTAATCGCCGGCATTCTGTTCCTCATCATCCACAGGAAGTTACTGGACAGGGAAAACAGGACAGAAGAGGCACCAGGCATCCTAAGCTACTGGTCGTATGCCAAAGGCTGACAGATGGATAATCTACGGCATTGTGGGTCAGAAGGAGACAGCACATCAGATTTGCGGAGGGACCAGGTGGTCGACGGAAATGATTGTGATACCTTTTTATTCCATCTGACTCTTCCTGTATCCCATCCATAGTCTACCTGTGCCGCTGGTTGAGAACGGCTGCTGTGGAATAGAGGAGGCCCTATTACTGTTCTTGTTCTGGCAGGCAAATCGACAATGGGCAGCCGCTCATACCCAGCTTCCACATTATGGAGGAGGAGGATTGTTGCTTTAGATCAATGCTTCCCCAATTTTGGGGTGTGCTCTCTCCCTTTCTGATTTTTGAGAAACCCTTCTCCTCATTCTTTTGCCATCATTCATCCCCAGTGTAAACAAAAATGTTTTATTTGTAATTAAAAATTAATAATGAACACAGAAACATAATTTTAATGGCTTTAAAATTAAAATAAGCCCCAATAGATTTTATTGATATAGCCTAAATTCTAAGAACAAATACCTATGACAGAACTATGTTTAGACTGATTAAAAATAGTTTTCTTTATGGGGGCCTTATTCTCACATCTCCCTTATGATTTCTTCATTCATACCACAGTGGAGCCACGTGCTCACTCATGCAGTCTGGAAACCAGTGCTCTAGATCAGTGGCCCCTAACCTTTTTAACAACACAGACTGGTTGGGGAAGGCGGTGGCACCCCCCACCCACGCTTGGGGGCACATGTGTGCATGTGCGAAGCGGTGGGGCGTTCACGTAGGTGCGTGCGCGAATGGGCTGTGCAGGGGGGAGTGCGTGCGGGATGGATGGGAGATCTGTCTCCGTGGCCCAGTCCAGCCCAGGGACCAGCGCCGGGCTGCAGTGCGGGATGGATGGGAGATCTGTCTCCGCGGCCCAGCGCCGGGCTGCAGACTGGGGGTTGGGGACCCCTGCTCTAGATCAATGGCTTTCAGCCTTGGGTGTCCAACTCCCAGAACCCTTCACCACTAGCTGTGCTGGCCAGGATTTCTGGGAGTTGTAGTCCAAGAATATCTGGGGTCCCAAGGTTGGGAAACACTGGATTAGATGGTTTCAAAGTGTGGCCTGCGCAGGCACAGATGCAATATCTGAAATCTACTAGTAAGTTGAAACTAGAGCGGGCCCATTCAAATCAATGGAATTTAGGGAGGAGCTCACTCAAAAAATCCCCATTGATTCAATGGGCCTGCTCTACTTGTGAGTTACTACAGTACTGGATTCCAGCCAATCTGTAATGCACAGAGACTGTAACTCAGAACCATACTTTCCCCAGTTATAACACCACCACCAACTTATGTGTGCTATGAACTAGAACATGCCCACACACAAAGGTGCAAATCTGCAGCATACTCTGGACAGCTAAACTATGAACCAGGCCTAGGAGTGCCATGGTGGGACAATGAACAAAGGAAGAATCAAGCAGTGATCAGCTGTGATCTTCTGGGAAAAGGAGAATAGGACATTTCCCCCTTTCAGTTATAGATCATCACATGCCATGTCACAAACTATTTTAAGTCCTAAAAGCTGCCTCCCATCTTGCATGGCAGCAGTTGTTAAATAAAGCCTCCAGCTCATCCACGTAAGTCTGGCCTTTGTTCTAGGAGTGCAGCGTGCAGGGTTCTGGTAACAATTAATAGAAAAAGACACTGCGGTTGCTCTGCTTTGTAAAATCAATAAAACATTTTCACTTTTCTTTTTCTCCCTTTTGGAAACGGCAAGCATTCTGAGCCCTCTCAATGATGCTCTTAGCAAACCATTAAGCTGTTCCCCATTTCAAGGATACAATGCCAGAATGTTTGGCTGTAATCATTTTTATTTATATATAGACCTTTCCACCCACAGTGCTTTACGTAAGAACGCAATTGAGCCCATGCTTTAAAAAAAAAACCCGACCAAAAAAAAGCTTGACGTACACAGGAGGCTGTCATTCATGACATCAGATAATCCTGTAAATTAAAAGGTTGCTATGATTAAGGGATATTTTCATACAGCAGTTAGCATACTTATATACAGTATAAAAGGAGACAGAATGCAAGTTAACCCGATATTGGTTTAGATGGGAAAAAAATGGGAAGGGTCAGCATGTAGCCCTATGTTGTGCCCTTCAGCTTCAGCATCCCAAAGTTAAACTAAAGGACAGCTTAAGAAAAGAGGAAAAACGCCCAAACATGGGTACCCAGTGTAGCCTAGCGGATAGACTGACGAACTAGGATTCTGAAAATCAGGGTTCGAATCCCGACTTAGCCATGGAAATTTCCTGGGGGAGTAGGTCTGGTAAAATTACTGCTTAAATATCTCATCTTGAAAGCCCTATTAGGATTGCTATAAGTCCGTTCTGGCTTGACAGCACAAAACTAACTGTATTAATGTAAATCTGTCACAGCTGCCTCTGTATTTCTGTTTTAGTTTTTCCCACACTGACATCATTTCTCCCATCTGTTTA